AATTAAAATTCAGAAATTCAGCTTAGGTTGAGAAGTAGTTGCCCAAGGATGTGTATATACGAGTTCATTCCACTGTATCTCTTCTTATAGCAATCCATTCAATGCACAGTAGTTCATTATGTGAAGAGGTATATACATAATACTGCTGCTTGGATGGAAATTCTGGCGTGACATCCTGAGGATCTCATTTGGATAGTCTTCATATCCTTAGACTTCTCCCAAGCTAACAGCAATATGGTCCTCAAAGAGGGCGATGCAAAGCATGATTGCGCCCCCTATCAGCAGGCCCAGACTCTGCAGGAGGAAGCGCTTCAGAGGGCTCAGAGATCCAGCATCTCCATGGAGCATTTCGGGCATCTATAGAAACAGAATCACAACTTTAACTTATATAAAGACATTGTATTCAATATGACTTATGGATTATATTAGCTTTTCAAGATAAAAATGAAGTCATAGATTAACATTACTGTATTTTGCCAATCAAAATGATTACCATGTCAGCAAGAGCAACATAAAGGAAGACCCCAGCGGTGATGGTGAGAATCCAAGGTGAGTGTGTCGCCCACTGGTTTCCCAGTGCAGTTCCTGTTAAAACGCCAACAAAGCCCAGCAAAGCAGAGATGGCGCTAAACACAGCCAGTCTGCGTACAGGCCAGCCTGCAGCCAACAGCACCGCCAAATCGCCTGCAGACACAAGCAAAGAAATAAATATATATGCAATATTGATCATTCATGATGAACATAAATAATAGAAATGACTCAAACACACCTAACTCATGAGGAAGCTCATGACAGAACACAGCGATCGTAGTGCTGAGGCCACCTGTCAGACTCTGAGAAAATGCAACACCTAGAGGAGAACAAGAAAATGTTTAAGTTAAATTTATTAAGATTAAAGTGTCAGAATTACATTTTAAAAAATGCTTTTATTTCTAAATGAAAGCAACTATGCAGTTTTGTGTATTTTTGCGACTTTGGAGTACCATCAGAATGATTATGAAACTGACATTTCGAGGTAAAAACTTACAATGCGTTGCTTTAAAGGTGCACTAAATAACAGTTTTATGTTTCGTTGGCTCTTATATCAGTGTTTCTCAGTTGGTTTTGCTTCAGGGCCTAAATTATTATTATTTAGTTACATTTTCTGAGTGTAATCAATTTAAAATGATTACTTATTACTTAATGCAACTTTAATCAGAAATAACTTTTATGTACCAATGGCTAGTCCATCTGTGAGGTTATGTATCCCATCTCCCATGACCACCATCCATGCCATGCTTCTGATGCCCATCTTCCCTGGTCCAGGCTGCCCATGAGAATGGCCATGCCCTGAACTCTCATTCTGATTGGCTGTTGAGGTACCTATGACAGAGTCCCGATTAATTTATATGTTCCATAATTATTAATGATTTTCTTTCTGGTTTGCTCTTTCACATGTCTGAAAATAAACATACCCTGCAGTGTGTCCAGCTCCCTTCCAGACTCTGCATCATGTTTCCTTTTCTTTAAATTATGTTTGAAGAAGGGGACAAATAGGGAAAACATCTCCACATCTCTTTTACTTAAGTCAGCGGGTCATGATTAAAGTCCCACTGGATGAAACTTACCTTGAAATGTTGTTTAAGTCCCAGAAGGCTCTCAAAGGCAAATAGAAGGTAAAGTCCTCCCAACACGCTCAGACCCTTGAAAACAGCATCCTGATGTTCAATGTGTTGACTGAAGATGGCCTGAAATCCCCCAAAAATATACATCTATAGCGCTTGAATTATTACAGAATAATACTTTCTTGAAATGATGCTTAATTTTGTATTGTGTATTACTTACATGGGGCAGGAGGTGCAGGAGGGCATCTCCACATAATGTGCCCACTGCCATGCCAACCATCGGGCACAGGAATATATGAAGGATGGAAGGTTGAAGCAGGGGTGCCAGTCCCAGGGCAACCAGGGAAGGCAAACTGATAGCAAAGTGTGCCAAGGAGGCCCATCCTAGTGCTGAGATACAATGACTATGTTTAACCTGCACTATCATGAAAACAAACACAAAATTGATTCTGATATCACACTTGACTTGGCAGAAACCGTTTACACACACACCTCTCAGGAAACTCTCACTGGTTTTGCTTCCCTGTGACTGCACCTCTGTGTGCCGCAGACAGACTCCACTGTCAATCTGGAACAGGAGGGCAGGGCACAGGAAGGTGAAATGGGCAGGAGTGATATGGGACGCTTGGCCCAGCCCGAAGTTCCACAGGAGCTGGGTAACATTTAGACACTGCGATAAGGGAGTAAGAAATGTGAGGTTCAGATTATTACACAGCTCTCTGAAATACTGATTGGCTATTCAAAGCTTGCGCTACTTCCATGTCTCTCGTATCACACTGCAGACTCACTTTCTCTTGTTTTCTACGAACACAACTGATACCATGTTGTGTATCAGTTATCAGCTGTAGTGAAAATGACCTCAGAGGACTTTAAGTGTTAATATTACTGTAACGTTGCAATGGTAATGTCACTATAGGCTGATGGTTTTGTGCATTGTAATGGTCTGTTTATTTCCTTATTGAACATTTTAAGATAATACACAGGCAAAATTCTGATTTATTTTGCTATAATGAAGCCTAACTTTATTGCATTACCAAAAAAACTTTGAAATTATGGCATACTGTGGTATGGTTTACATAATTATGTGATTAAAAAGTCAAAATTATGTCCTTTTATCTTATAATTTAGAATTTTGTCATAATTCTGACTTTTTATTTCATGATTTTGAACTTGTCAAAAAAAAAAATTTTCATAATTTTGACTTTTTTATTATAATATAATAATTACTACATTTTAACTCATAATTTTGTATCACAATTTTGACTTTTTCTGTTACAATTATGGCTTTTTATCTCATAAATGTAACTTTTTCTCATAATTTTGATAATTATGACATATTTTGACATTTTATCTCATAATTACGACTAAGTATCTCAGAATTTCGAAGAAATAGGCTTCTATACTTAAGTATGTATTTACATATTGCACATATTGTGATGTAGATGCTAATCCACAGTTGGGGATATTTGTGTGCTGGTAGTCCAAGAAATCCTCCTCAGTAGTTTAACCAGCAAGCTCTTATCATCAGCATCTCCAGAAGATTCATGATGGTCAACCAGCTTTGCAAGATTTTTGCCAGAGTTTTGCAGATATACAGCATTATATCATATTCTCGCTCACCAGCTAGACCAGCATTAAACCAGCACTAACCGGCTTAAACCAGTCTTTTCAGCAGAGACCTTTTACATGATTATCTCTCTCCAAAATAGTTTGTGTACCTCATACAGAACAGGAAAGGACAATAGACTGAATTTTACTGTCTCAAGATATCAACAGACCTTTGGTCATGTGATAGTGAAGAGAATTCAGTGGTAGACTTTGTCCATTCGTAACACTCTTAACAGGAAGTTTAGGAGTAAATACTCACATTCCCATGAAGATGTTTCTCTGTCGGATGGTCTGACAGCGGTGACACATTTTCTTCCAGTTTGTGTCTTAGACCAGGGTGTGGAAAATAGTCTGACTGACCCCATTCTGGAGGAGATCCTCTGATCACTGAATTAATGTGAGGTCTAGGACTGAATATTTTCATGGATTAGTCCTCCGCAAACAATAACCAGATCATCAAATACAGGGAAATTCATCTCTGGTTTTGTGGGGATAATAAAAGATTACATATTAAAAAGTTAACTTTATTGGCACAAGCCACAGTCAGTGTAAAGAAGATTGTAGAAGATTGTAGAATGAGTAAAGATTACAACAATGCGTTAGCCATCTTACCTTTCTTTTAGTGGAGGTGAGTTTGTGGTCCTTTGAGGATGATGATGGTCTTCATGTGAGTGGGAATGGGATTGGGGTTGAGAAGAATGCTTCACTCCACCATGTTGGATCTCCAGGACACTGACCTCCCCGAGACCTAAACTGCCAAGCAATTTCTGCAGACCCTCATAGGTCAAAGTCCCATTGTCCCCATACTGAAGGAATAGGCGTTGCAAGTAGTAGCCCTTGAGAGAAAATCAAATCTGAACGACTATTTTACCAACAGACATCATTTTCAAGGTCCACGCATGCCAGTGTCTTTATGATAGTGCTTTATGATTTGCTTTCAACATACAGTATGTACTGAAACTACAACTCTAACCTAGTTCAATTTGATTGATTGCATCAGAGTCATTGTTGATAAGATTTTTGCATTCGGTGTAACCCTCAAGCAAAAAGCACTTGCTCTCTGTATGTTTTGAAAAATCCCTCAATGAATGTGGTAGATCTACTTTACCAGACATGTAGGGACGAGTAAATTGTAGATTCTCAAAGACAGGCAACAAAAACAATCATTGGTTACTTAAACGTTATGTTCTGACAGAATCATCCAAACGTACCTGCTCTTCAAAAGCTTCCTCTAAGTGTTCCTGTGTAGATTTGACTTGTGTGCTCTCTTTTTTGTTGACCTGGACATGTGTTGCCAGTACGAGGATGGCTGGTATCATCACAGAAATCATACAGTGGTAGAGCAGAAGCTTGAAGCTCAGAGTTGTCCTTAGGGAAAATGCCAATAAACATGAATAATTTTAGCATGTGGGCCTCAGCATTCAATATAACACAGTTTTAATTAAACAAGCATAATTCAATAGGCATTTCTAAATCAATCCCAATTACAGTTGGTAAAAACAAATTACGATCCATACTGTAAAAATCATGAGTGAGAGCTCTGGAATACCTCACATGTTCCTTATTCTAGATAGAAGGTTAGAGGTTTAAGGGAGACAAAATTGAGACTTGCTTAAATTTGCTGATGATTCCTCTGATAAAATAATCCTAATACTCTCATGTGTTTCTCCTACAGTTTAGAAGAAATCTCAACAATGTCTCAAATTTCCCAAGATACCAATTTCTGCATTCAAAAATCAGGTATATCTAATTACATTGTATTTCCTAGAAACATAAGAAACATTCAGAGCTATGAAAGAGCAGCATCTGATCAGTATATAGGAATTAAAACTTAAGATAAAGACTCTTAAATCAAAAGCGTACAGAAAGCACATAGCAAAGTCATGCAAAGTATTTCAAGACATCAAAATGCCATCTTAATTTATGCTTTAACTGATAAACTCTTTACCAGACTGTCTGTCCACCCATGATTTTTTGCAGTCTCTTAAGCCTGTTACATGATCTCCAGTATCCTCTCTGTATCCTAGTGTTTAAGCATGAAGCATGGCCCATTGTTTTATGAAGAGGATGTTAATGTTTCACCAGCAGACAGCTTTAAGCCTATCGGAGATCACATGACTGGAAAGGCATTGATCAACTTGGTTTACCTCATCATGACTGTGTGATGTAAATTTAACACATTCTCACTCTCATCCTATCAAATATATTTAAGTATTGGCCCACTGCAGCCCTACTTTGGCATGTTCAAGTAACTTTAATGTATCTGCATGTAGAGACGCACAGACAGACAGACAGACAGACAGACAGATAGATAGATAGATAGATAGATAGATAAGTAAATTCATTTAAATAACTCCTGCATAGTTCAAATATATATACGCTCTTAGATTAGTATGGATGTAATGTGTTTAAGAGTACATCAAGAGTAGCCTACACCAGGTAACGTTAGGCTATAATTGCTCCTCCACACACACTCTGTCCTGTAGGTGCAGCAGATTCAGTCAGACTTCATCCGCTCGGCTCTGGAAGAGATATCAGCCATCTACCAGATCACTGCAAATATCAGAGGCTCGAAATCCAGAAATCACATTAAGATTTGGAGGAATACCGCGATCTGTGAACAGGTATTACAGTCCTTCTGGGTGATTTTCAATGCTTTACTTATGTCAACTTGTAAAATTACCGGATAGTAGCACAAACGAGGCAAATACAGTGACGAAACAACAAGACGTTATTTGATCAGGACAGTATTTAAATAACATGTACAGTTTTTTTGTGGTTTCTAGAATTTGTGATGTGACATTTATGGACGCGTGGTGTAATGTTTAGACCAAAGCTGCTCTTTCGGCATGCCTCAGCTAGTGTTAGTTGGATTTCGTGCTAGTTAGCCACGTAAGTTCCGCTATCTTCTTAACATCGACGAATTTTACAGTGAATAAAATACATTTAAGATATTCATTCTTTTTTATATGCAAAAAACTCGAACTCAGTAAGGAAGGCCCGTGTCTGTGATGATTATGTTGGTTGTTTTTGTACAGCACCGTTAGCGAGCTGGCTAATGCTAAGCGCCTATTCGCTCAAGCACATCAGCAGACGTGTGTTACAGGCTGGGCAGAAGCTTTTTACAACGGCAGGAGGTTTAATAGCCGAACAGATGTTTGCAGCTGTTCTGTCATGTCCTGTCTGGTTCATTACTGTATGTATTTTGGCAGAAGTACAGTTAGCTTGTCTGTCTGAATCCAGCGTGACATTGTATTCCTATTCATGGCTGACTGTCTGTAATGTATCAATATGCATCTTGTTTAAATGGCTACATCTGTACATTTAACATTAACCCATAACATATTATATGCTGAAAGACAGGACTGTCATGTCATGTTTATATACATTTTTGGTGCGTAAACGCGCACACACACACTGTATGTATGTATGTATGTATGTATGTATGTAGTATCAATATGCATCTTGTTTAAATGGCTACATCTGTACATTTAACATTAACCCATAACATATTATATGCTGAAAGACAGGACTGTCATGTCATGTTTATATACATTTTTGGTGCGTAAACGCGCACACACACACTGTATGTATGTATGTATGTATGTATGTATGTATGTATGTATGTGTGTGTGTGTGTGTGTGTGTGTGTGTGTGTGTGTGTGTGTGTGTGTGTGTGTGTATAGAGAGAGAGAGATAAACAGCCACCATTTTACAGCATCAAAACAGCTAAGTTACTAAGTTATGGTCTCATACTTATTTAGGGGTTTGTCAGACCTGTCATCCAGTACGTGGTACAAAATTTAATGGAACAAAGCACTTTGGACATTGGTAAACGTGTGCCACTTGCACTCCCGGATGTGCTCTTGGTGATCATGCATCCGTGCCACTAAAACCAAATCTTTACTGAATGAAAGTGAGGAACGCACTCTCTAAAATGGGGGTTGAGGGGAGAACGTGCTAAACCACCCACACTCTCCCCCATCGTCTGCTTAGACAAGCTAAAATTAGGTCACCACGAGCCTACACAACACCACCCCTCACAGAACACCCCTCACAGTTATGAATCTGAAGAGATGCTGTGTCTACATAACGCAGCCCTTTTTTTTGCTTTGGATTTTAAATTCAAATTAAGAGCATTGATCTGTGTACTAACTCCAGAATTCTCCTTCTTGTTTTTTTATGACATTAGATACCAAAGAAAAAATTTAGTGCTGCTGGATAAAAGTGCTTTATATCACACGTCTAATCCTTGCTGACTACATCTGCTTTGTTTCATTAGGCTGTGGAAAAGTCTCAGGTTCACACACACCAACCTGAAAACACAAGTTATTGTGATTCCACTGAGTGAAAATTCATCGCAATGCTAGGGTGTAATGGATGGTTACCAGGGTGTTGCTATGTGGTAGCTAGGGTGTACTGGGTGGTTACTTACTGTCAGCCCAGCCACAAGCCTCCATGATGATTTGGTGCTTATACATGGCTCAATGTAATTCTATAGGATTTTTTTTCGCCTACCAGGCAAACTCGTGATTGGATAAGCCACATTTGAGTCATTGTTTTTTAATTGCTCTCGAAGCACTGCCTACTCATGGCCAGCCAAATATATATTGCAAAATTCTCTCATTTCATTACACGTCATACTGTCCAGTCCTGTGATTGCGTGTGCATGTGTAGCTTCCACCCATACATCATCAGGCTCTTAAATGAGTCGGCTCTTAATTCGATTACGATGCATCAAGGCATTCCTGGTTTTGGATTTCCACTCAAGAGACAAAGTGGGAGATAAAAGCATTCGTAAGCTTAAATGTTGATGGCCATAGTATTCAAAACATCTTGAAATGGGAATGGACTAACTGACAGTAAATACGCCGAACTTGTCTGAAGCTTCAGGGAAATGTTTCAAACAGGCTTTTTAAAACTGAATTAAATTGCTTTGAAATAAATAGCAGTGTATTGATTGCATCATAATGGATGTCTTGTTTTCTTTCTTAAGGGGGATGTTCAGTCTTGCATCGTAAGGAAGATCGCCTTGTCCACCTGACACATGAGGACGACTCATTGTACAGGGATCATGAGGGCTGTGCTTTCGTGAGGTATGAATGTACATTTCTTTTGAATGTTTCACATAATATAGTAGCAGAGAAAATGTCTTGTACTCCTTTAATGCTACTGTGTGTTATATAATCACTCGGATCATGCATATTTCATAGAAGTTAATGCATTTTAGTATGGTTTAAATCTTTTGTGCTCTGTGGTACTAAAATGTCTGCTTTCTGTCTGTTCTAACACGGATGTAATTCTGTATAGGCGTTAATAACTTAATGATTTCCACCATAAAATCTGGTCCACTTTGGAGCTTATTCCTGCTAAGAACTGTTCTTATTTGTAGTCTAGGAATGAGTTTGTCCTAAATAGCCGATACCAAAATAGTAAATTGGCACTGAAAACACTCAAATATATTCAGAAAGGTATGTGGATTTTGTGATAAGTCTTTAAGTAGTGATTATTGTGAATATCTACTAGAGCCCGACCGATATATCATTTTGCCGATATTATCGGCTGATATGAGCCTGTCATCGGTATCGGCGAAAATTGCAGCCGGTATAGGGCTGCACGATTAATCGGATGCAATTGTCATACGCATTTTGTTAAAAAAGCCGGTTCTGTAATCAGCAGGAAATCATCATCACGTGCTTTCAGATGGAGCAGAATTTACTACACAGAGCCATAGTTCACTGACAAGTTACGCAAAAAAATAGCAGAAAATCTGAAATTCTGAAATCGTTTGTGATAATGACAGCTGTTTGCATAGCTTCTCAGTAAACTATGGCTCTGTGAAGTAAATGCTGCTCCATCTGAAAGCATGTGAAAATACCACATTTAATAACATATTTTTACTCCAAACTCACTTCATAATGTCGGTCGAGTGTTTGAAAGAAATCCTTCTGTGAGATGATGTGGCTTCTTACACCGAATAAGCCACACAAAATATTTCATAGTATTTAAGCAGTGATAAAGGCATTGCATTATAAATATACTTTATTTTAATGAAAATTATAATAATAAGAACTCAGATAAACCGTATATTGCCGTAGTCGTGTGTTTATTAGTCAC